CACGAGCGGTGCGCTCTAAGTACAACGGCGAGATGAGAGGCACGCAATGGCTCATACACACAGACTGTCAACAGTCGATGTGGTTAATGCGACCTCAATGCTACAGGGTTTGGCCAGGCGCAATAAGCACTACCTCGCATACGGTAGAGTGCATATGCGACTTGTATGGAGCTGAACGACCACTACTACGCATCATTGGATGATTTTGCAGATAACAGTCGGAATCCTCGAGTCTGGCGAATCAGCAGGGCACATCAACCTGGTATACAGTACCACAAACCCCGCACACCATCTCATCGTATAAATTTGCTCTTTCTCAGCCTCGTGGATGTCGTAGTCATTGCCCATTGCCCATTGCCCATTGCTCTTTCGTTCCCTTCTGTCTGCTGGCATGTTCTGGTACGCGGGGAATTGAAATGGCAGATCATTATCACAAACCCGAGGTCGAAAATGAAGAGGAATCGCAAGCTGATGCTGCATTTGGTGGCGAGACATATACGGAGATACCCGGAACCGAAGAAAGGATGCCCACGAAAGGAGAGGCAAGGGAGCATTCCACAGCTCAAGAGTCAGACCCGCAAGGACCGACCCAAAAGAAGATGATTGTTCTCAAAGACGCAGTGGGAAGAAAGCTCAACTTTCCATTCGCCTTGGCCAAGACTTGGCGTGTGCGTTCCAGTAACAACACCCCCCATTGAGAGCATCGGAGCTGACTGACTATAGGGAATGGAAGAGCTGATACACCAAGCCATGCTCCACATTGGTGTCATCGGGGATCACGTCAAGGCCGGCCACTTTGACTTGCTGGGTCCAGACGGCAATGTGGTTCTTCCCTCCGTGTGGGAGCATAGCGTCGAGCCAGGGTGGTTCGTTACGATGCGCATGTGGAAAGATGCAGAGGACGCCAAGAAAAAAGGAGAAGAGGATGTGAAATTAGGAAAGGATAAGGCGCCCATTCGCTTCAAAGATGCAGTCGGAAGAAAGTTCAATTTCCCGTTCCATCTGTGCCAGACGTGGCCGGTAAGTTCAGAGATGAACCTACAGAGCACAGCAGAACTAAATGCTACTAGGGCATGGAGGAATTGATCAAGCAAGCATTTCTTCATGTGGACGTCATCGGCCCTCACGTCCAAGCGGGTCATTACGATCTATTAGGCCCAGATCAAGAGATCATCCTTCCGCAAGTTTGGGACAAGGTCATTGAGCCTGACTGGGCCATTACTATGATTATGTGGCCAATGGAACGGCCTCCGCCCGCTGGCCTTCAAAATGGTGTTCCTCGGCATCCAGGTTTACGGCCAGGCGGTATGCAAGGTCCCGCTTTCAGGCCTCCCGGATTGAGGCCGATGGCTGGCGGCCCTCCGCCCCCTCCGCCCGGGATGGGTTATCCGGGGCCTCCGCCACCAAATCCAGGCATAATCAATGTCGCCCCCATTCGCGAAAAGCATAAAAAAAGTAAGACAAATAGTGGTGGACTTGGTGCTTTTCTTTTTGGCAAACCAGCGAAGAAGAGCAGCAGCAAAAAGAAACCGTCGTTCCCTGAGTCTTCTTCTTCTAGTTCCGAATCTGATGAAAAGATTGTGGATTTGCCATTAAAAAGGCGGCCGACTAGGCCGCCAGGGGGTGTGCCTCCATTGCCATCAGCCCTCTGGAGTGCTAATGCGGCGAGAAGGACAACACAGCAGACGGCCAACCATAGTCCACCGGCATCAGTCAAAAGCAAGTCCTCGCGTCGAAGTCGCTCGACGAAATCTTCCAAGAACCCAGACTTGAGTGATGCCACAAGTGACAGCGACGATATGTACAGTGTCCAGCAAAAGGTGCGACAAAAAGCCAAGGAGAAGGATCTGATTGTGATTTGTCGGCACACGAATCGGTTCGGTACGTTTCGTCAACAAACCTTTCCCACAATGGCGACAGTTCCGTTTTCGCGCCTGGATATCGACTCGGCTCGTGTTTACTGGCAAGGCCCGTCAACGACTACACGAGCAACGCTGGAGTTAGTCCGCAGCACCAAGGCACCTACGCCTCCCACGACTACAGAAGCAAGGTTGGACCAAGACACTTTGACACAGTTGAAATGGATGTGAGTGAATGATAGGCAACTTACCCCCACGATTAAACTCATCAAATATAGACATGCTGTTCGGCCTTCTTTAAGTCTCAAGGAGCTCGAGGTGGGTAGGATCCCGGAGTTGAAGACCTAGCCTACAGACACTAAACTATTTCTCTGAAGCATATTGCCATAGACCAAATTTGCCCTGATGCGTCAACTCGGCGGATTGTGAGTCATTTAATAGACACACTCAGGAATAAGGGGCGAGATGACGAATTGGTGCTCAAACCTGGCACGATACTCAGGTGTAACACGGATGCCAGAGAGAGCTCCTTCGAGTCGGTCTGTTTCGTGTCAGTCCCAACACTCCATTCAAGTTCCTTGGGCTCTTCCAAGGTCGCAAGCAATGGAGATTTCTGTCGGGAACAGAAGTTGCACGAAGCTCTTGATCAACTCAGCAGTGATACGGGCCTAGACAGCAGTTGGCCACTCAGAATAGGTTCAGAGAAAATTGCAACGCACACGCTTTGGGTGCGACAGAGTTGGATAATGGTCACCAACGCAGGTAGGTGCCCCTCATGATTGATATTAAGGATATTTTGGAATTCTGATTGCTTTTCCTTTAGGTGTACTCACTTACACCAGCCTTCAGCAGGATGCCTTGAGAGGTACAAGTATCTCCATTCAAGAAGATGTATTACGTGGGGACGACGGTGAGCAGATGATCCAGGTCATGGACGAAATTCGAAGGCTGTTCTACCTGCCTGCCAAAAAGTGCAAGAGCTTCTACGTCAGTCATCGCGCCCCGATTTCCGCCCGCAATCGGAACTAATAGTGCGCGGTACAGGAGCTCGAAATCGCAGTTCGAGAAGAGCTAATCAGGGCGGGAGACTTTGATCTCGATCGCGCTGAGCTTCAATTTGAACTTTCCGATGGGCAGACACTGACAGCAGCCAAATGGGCTAAGCTTGTGAAGCTGGGAGAAATTCCTTCACTAAAAGTCTTACAACCGCTTGTGGAGTTCTCTGATTCGGAACAGTCGACTGTTGGCAGCCGGCGAAGAGAAGGATCGGATTCGAGCGACAGTGAAGGGCTGGGTGACATCTATTCTATATCCTCCGGTAAACCGTCAGAAAAGTCGTCTGGCGTCAAAAGGTCTCAGGGATCCGTCAGCAGTACGACGCAGGTAGATGAGCAAGGGTTCATACTCCTGTCATCTGAGCCAACATTGAACAGTGCGTATCCCCAACTATGGAGTCATGGACGGCGAATGGAGTGCTTAGCCAAAGACAGCCCTTTACCTCGACCTACCAGATTTGAACAAGAAGGTGCCACCTTTTCTGAGCTGGCTAAGCGAGGCAAAATCTGGCCAGGAGCGAAATGCCAATAAAGGATTCAGAGAGGGTATAATACGCACAGAATTGAAGCTTGTCCGTATTGAGGATGAGCCTTTCACTGATAGCCTTATGGAGGACCTGTACCGGGCTTTGGGCGACACTGACATCTACCACGAGACCGCCGAAATGAACTTTGACGATTTCGAACTGCACAGAAAAAATCTCTTCAAGGATAAAAGAAACCCTAGATATGAACCAACCTCGAACTTTTCGGCTGAGGAGCTTCTGGGAATGGCGGATGAGTATTTCGATGCATCATTACGTGTACTCGAATCGTTCGTTTCAGCCCAATTCAGATCCACGCTGGTGGCCAAGTATCTGTCTGCCCTAGCAATGATCATGAAGGTTTGATGCGGTTAGATATTCGCTATTGAGATGCATTGGCTGACTATAGTCCAGGATCCTACACGTAGTCTGCAACGAGAAGAGAATGAGAAGGGCGCTGACGATCCAGAACTTTCAGATACTCCTGGTCGACATGATCAGCCAGCATGGGTCATCTCACGCACTAGGACCCAAGAAGACAGAATCAAGTACCGCAGCCCAGTAGGTGACGAAGGAAAATGCAAGGACTGTGACCGAGGCGTTGTGTACCACAGCGTTGATAGAGCTACCACTCATCTCCGCCGGTCCCATCTCGTTGGCTCGGTTGCAGAGGCTAGACTCCGCTACTATGTCGTGCCGGTAGCCTCAGCCTTCTCCGAGCGGCGGCAGGAGGATCAATATGATCTGCTACAGCAAAGTCGCAATGCGATGGCAGCCATTTTGCGAAAGCTCGTCTATATCCAAGATGGGGTTGTTTTCGATGACGAATTCCGAGAACAGCGGGGACTTCCACACCACTTTATTGACTCCTTTAGATGGATAATCGTCTATGTGTGCACAGTACCGCATATATTCCATCAAATCTCTTGGTTCTACAACGACGACTTGCCCCAAAAGAGCTCCAAACATTTGACCAGCTTCAAGATTCGACGACAGCTGAATCTCCTATCCAAAGTCGGTTTAGAGGCAGAAGCGCAGATCCGACAAGCCGAAAGGGCCTTGATGTCCCCTACCACTTTTTCAACCGAGGAGGCACCAGAAAGCTTTCTCGTTTCAGTTGGCCCACAGTACCTAGCGTCGCAGATTATCTGTAACCTCTTAAAGATGCCCATCCATGACCAGAAGCATGCTGCAGATTTGTTCGAAGCATACGCTAATAACTTGGTAAGCATGTCTTCTACTAATGCTACTAGCTTCAAAGAGTGGAAGGGAGATGAAGAGCTCAAACAAGAGTCTGCACATTCTAATAATTGAGCAGAGATCTCAAGTTCTACGGCGTCCCAGCAAGCGTCAGATTCTCAAAATTGGCGCCCTCAATGATGATTTGGACCTGATCAGAAAGTTCTACGAATGGCAGAAAGAGACACTGGATCGTTTTGACGTTATCATCAATCCAGCCACGTATCCTGAAATTGACAAGACTCTCGCGGAGCGTGAGAAGCTGTACAGCATGGAGTACGATATCGTGCGGGGACAGGACCTCCGACTGGATAAGGACCTCAAGCGTATCGACAAGATGCTCGTCCTCTGCACTTCGATGATTGAACAGATCCGCGACATGACCGAGATTATGAAAGATGACCAATCGCAGGTCATCTTCATCTTCACTACCGTGACCGTTGTGTTCTTGCCGCTCAGTTTCGTCGCTTCCTACGTAAGCATGAGCGGCGGAGCCACGGGCCTAGACTGGAGTGGTCTACAGGTCTTGTTCTGGAAGGTTGCGGGTCCATTGACGGCTGCCGTGATCATCTTTTGCCTCGTGGTGGCGCAGAGACGAAGACTGCTGCGGGCCCTCGTCGCGACGCAGCGGACGAGGCGTACGCTCGAATGGATAAGCGACAAGTCGCACAGAGCATCTCGCGGCTGGAAACGATTATCTGCGAGGCTGCTGCGTGCAAGAAGAAATCGTGGAGGTTCCAGTGATGGTTCTTCTGAGACAACGACTGTAACTACTTCATCATCGGGCTCCATCATTGACGATTAGTCTTGAGACTTTCCTCTAGCTTGCATAGCACTGTACTCCCTTTTTGGGCTGACGATAGTGGCTGAATAATTGAGGGCGGGGCATGGGAGATGCTGAGAGCTATTGCTGAGGGAACCCTTAGTAAATGTCAACGAAAATGACAAATGTATGATGCGATATGTCTATTGAGTCGTGGAAAATGATGTGACAAACAATTCTGTTTAAATTGATCCTGCTATGTACTTGGAAATTTGCCAAATCCTGACATGCAGAAACCGAATCACTTACTGACTGGCTGGTAAAAAAGACACCTACTGCTGCGTGGGGCCGGGGCATCCCGCAAGTCCCCTGTAGTTCACGTGTGTTAAGCATATTTCTTAGGATGAAAGCTAGTAGGTATAATGCTCGTAAACAAACCCACCCCACTATAACGTCTACTATAAGCCCACTGTAAAAGTCACTATACGATTCGCTAATTGTTACCAGCCAAAGTCTAACCAATTTCAATCAAACATATGATCCATCCATTATGCACTTCCCACACACTCTGGCATGCCTGCATCAACCACCTAGAATTACCGGCAGCACTGACATGGTTTCAAATCCATTGTCGAATATTCTCCCTAAGCAGTACCTCTTGTCCCAGAGGGCCGCCCGCGTTTACCATTGCACTTGGCACAGGCCTTGACATGACGCAAATGAGCCGACTTGTCGCGGCATTCGTCTCCACATTTGCAATGATAAAACGGCTCCCGAAGTTCTTTGGCGCACTTTTGAATGTGTCGCATATAGTTGTCCTTGCGGGCAGTGCTTGCAGTACATCTGCACCGGTACTTCGGGTCGTCTTTTTCAGCATGGACTGTCCTCAAGTGACGGTCGTAATCCCTTTGCTGATGGAAGGATGAGCGACAGGTCTCCCCTGCTGATTGGTTCTTAGTGTTGGAACGGGTGCACTGAAACTGGCGTGGAAGAGTGGTCGGAGTTGTTGGGTGCAGTGCCTCATTAGCCAACAACGCTGCCTCGGGAGCTGCCGCCGATTCGTGGTCCGTCTCAATCCCAGGGAACGGGTTGTTATCGAAAGCAAAGATTGCAAGTGATTCCAGGTGCCGATTTTCATAAGCGCTCATTGACAAGTCAAGATCTGGGGCAGCAGTGTTTTGCAATGCAATTGAACTCCAGTCGCCCAGCGTGATGTCGCTGCCGCCAAATGTGGGTTCGGCGGCGTCCACTCCTGACAGTGAGTAATCCACGGTACTGCCATGGTCATAGAAAATTGGAGACAAAGATGTACTGTTCATGGCAAAAGGCCCGGTGCTATCACAAACCGACTCATTCTGACTTGCCAGGAATTCATTGCAGTTATTGTCAACGGCAGGAAGGCTCTGATAAGTGGACGCATCGAGAGTGATTGGCATGTGGAGGTAGCTATCTGACTGGGAGCGGTCGTCTTCTGGTTCAAAATTATTGTCGTAGAGCCAAGGGCTACTGTCGGCTGGCCTTGGGTCATCGGCGTCTGAGGGTCCTTCCGACTGCCGCCGGGGAATGTTCAAAGAAGACATGGTAATAATCACGACAGTGGTAATAGACTACTAGTAGAAGCAAGACTTTGTCCATAATAAAATCCATTCTTCCCATCCAAGTTCGAAAAGGCAAAAGAAGGATTATATATACTTCTTTCTTAGTTGATCAATTTGTTTTTACTATATGAGCCTCAATGAGGTCTGCGTGTAGGCTCCAATGTGGCCGTGACATATCCTAAGCGCAAGTACCACAGTAGTTTTGGTGCCGGCCTCGCAGGAAACCAGCGAAGCTAAGTGGGCACGACGAGATCTCAACTGCAGCCCCTGCAAAGAAACGCCCATCCCTGCCAGAGGGGGTGTGGTGGGGGATTTAGGACCAGCTACGAGTTACTTGGTGATCCTTAGACCGGAATTGACGAACAGGAAGCCTTCTTCTGGTCGTGGAAATGACACGAATGGAAGGGAACTTCCGGTAGTGGTGGTGTGGCAGGGCTGACGGTGCCCAATGAGGAGGCATCACCAACGGCCCCGGGGGTAGATTGGTGTAATCGGCTGCAGCCGGAAGAGGAAAAGCGGCAGTCCACTATGACCCTTGATCGCACACAAGGCAGTACTATGCAGTATCTTTACTGCATATGGCCAGCTTACAGACCTCCAATGTACATACATGTATAGCTGGATTTGCGTCCGGCTGGGTACCCAGCCAGAGGTGGCTCAAGTAATTGCAACTGAGCCTCTTACCTCTCACCTACGATTGCTTTCCTCTCTCCACCAATAATACACTGCCCACACTGTCAAACATTTCTATATGGTGTCTGTCTGCTCGCGAAGCAATTTGCACCTCACAGCTCCCTCTAGACCTTTGGGCTTCCCGCCCGGCATTTTCATTGACCCGTTGCCCACGGTTGGTCTTTCGGGTCCTGGTTGTTGAATTGAGCAGGGGCTACTATGTACCTAGCATGATAGTATGCTTAGCGTTTAGTTTTCGCGGCAGTTCTGGAATGGAAGCATTGAATCCCTGGTCCATATCAGGAACAAAAACAGAACCTTGGCCTTCAGAAGACCTGAATGCTAAGCACTACATTTTGGCTTGTTCAAGAGAGTTTCGATGATGAAGGCCAGGTATGTCAAGAAGACGCCAGCTCCAGAACACAAAGCACAAGTGCGCAGAAGTTGCTTTTGGGCTCTTGGCGTCTCCGGCCCTGTCTCTTGCGGATCACAGGCAAGGGTGTCCGATATGAGAAAAGGCACTGCGGCGACCTGAGGCTCCCATGGAACTGATCGTGAAGCAGCCTTACCTATGTCCCACCGAGGAAAAAGCTCACCCACTCACCAACATACTTAATCCAAGTATTTCTGAAGAGCCCGTGAGGAGCAACAGATTAAGGGATCATCAAGTCATCCGTGCAAGCATAAGGGTAGGGGAGCACGACCAGATAACGCTTTCATGCTCCAGAAAAGCAAGGCAGCACACAAATGAACTAAGGGAGCGGGTGTGTATTCGTTTCGAACGCCTCTCTCAAATTTCTATGCACAATAACGACCTCAAGTTTCCCGGTTCTCGATGAATACCAGCTCTTTCGTAGCCTCTAGATTATCGAGGCGAGCCTGGGACTTCATCTTGATTAGCTGATAGGCTGTGCTCGTCAAAGGCAACCACAGAGGCACCTTGTCATTCCGGCTGGCCACGAGGTATAATACACGAGCAACGGCCGAGGGCAGGACACCACCGGCACCGCTGGCGATACCATTCTTCACCCACGCCGCCAGCTTTCGTGCTGGCATGTCGGCGCCGTCATAGTCCTTGTGGATCTGGGTGAACTTTTTGCTGCCCCGCTCAAACTCGGTCTTGACGCCACCCGGCTCGACGATGCAAATGTTGACTTTGGAAAGAGCATACACGTCAGTGCATCTTTCATGGACGACGATAATTTACAAACAACTCACTGTTCCAATCTGGATGCAGCTCTCGCGCAAAAGACTCTGACCAGCCCTCCACGGCAAACTTGCTGGCGTGGTAAAACGCCTGACCGGGAAAAGCTGCGACACCAGCCAAGGACGAGATGTTGAAAATGATGCCGCCGCGATGGTCCTTGGACTTTCTCATCACTCTGGTAGCTTGAGTGGCCACGCGAACTGTGCCAAAGAAGTTGGTCTCAAACTGGGCGTGCATCTCTTCCTCGGTCGCCGCTTCGGTGTCGCCTGCCAATTCGTAGCCAGCGTTATTAACGAGGACATCCACATGGAAGCTCTCCCCAAAATGGTCCGCCGCCGCCTTGAAAGCTTGCTCGACTGAAGCAGGTGATGTGACATCGAGATGCAGCTTCAAGATTGCGTCGCTGTCTGCCAGATAAGACAGACTGTCGGGGTTGCGAGCTGTTGCAATTAGACGTTGCCCAGGCTTGCTAGCGACCAACTCTGCAATGGCACGACCAATACCACTGGAACAGCCAGTGACTATAAGTGAAGAGTTAGCAGATCGCAATTAACAGGACGACGAGATGCACGTACTGAGCCAAGTTGCATCAGCTGGGAGTTGGTATGGCTTGGTGTTTACTGGATTCATCTTGTGCTCGGATTGAATCAAGATTGGTCTATCTTGTCTTTTGGGTGGTGATTGATGAATTCTTTGAAGTGGTGCTCCATTCTGTTTCTCAAACTCATGTACATATATATATGCCTGTTCTTGGCCGTTGTAATTGAAGTTGTAAATGATCTACGTCTGACATGATGCTGGCCGATGGAAGGATGACTTGACGGCAATTACGTGTCTTACCTTGCCGCCTCGGCGAGCCTAAACGGGATACCGGTTTAGTGGATCGATCCGGTAATAACAGCACTTAGCTGGCTGCTGCGACCGTCCATGTTACAACAAGCACACTTACGTGAGAACACCAGTTTTGATCAATACCACTTTTGCTTCATTCAGGGTCGGACTTGTGAAGATCATACTGTTTTCAACGCGGCGTACATTTCGGGATAAGCACTGCACTGCACTCTGAGTTGCCGGCGAGATCCTTCAAGACTCACTAGTTGGCATTTCAGGTCTCTGGATTAGCGCAATACCGCTAAAAACCCTCCTGCTGCGCTGGTGGCTATATACAGCAAGCGGTTACAGCAATCGCATATCAATTCTTGTTCATTACTAGAAGCTGTTTCTATTCTTTCCATCTTTAAAAATGCATTACTCAAGTAGGTGGCTTCATCATTTCACCGTAAATTCATCAAACTGCACCCAATCCTTGTCCGATTCGCCATTCTCTCGACTTCCGGATGCAAAGATACCAAATATAGTTCCCGTCATGTCTCGAGCCGACAAGAGCATTGAGTCCACCTCAGCGGCTATCTGCCACTCCTCCTTGGTGCTGTCCGTCGCATCGCACCAAAAGAATGAATACTTTCCAGGCTCACTCTTGATTTTGAACTTGATTGATGTGCTGTTCAATGGCAGCTTGGTCGTCAAGTCCAAACTTCCTGGCTTTGGATTTAGAAGAGAAGCGCTTTCCAGTGTAATGGTCCGCGTCGTGGGATCCAAGTAGATGGAACGGTAGCGAAGACAATCTTTATAGACGGCTAATCCCGCACGCCGCACGTTTGTCTCTTCCGGAGGTGGGACCAGCAGAGTGCAAGTTGCTTCGCTTGTCAGGAATCGCTGCCTCCGACCGACAAATGTTGTCGTGCCCAAGGGGGTGGAAAGGGTCGTCTCTTGCGCCCGCAGGAAGTGCGTTTGCATCGTATCAGAGGAAGATTGTCTATAGTCTTCAGGGTTTGGTGTGCAAATGTATACCTCCTCTTTTTGAAAGTCGGGGCTAGAGGCTTGTAATGTATCGCTCTGGTCCTCGGTCTTTGCGCCAGCAATATCCAAGCTCATTTGCGTCTGGGCAATCGTAGGCCATTCACCACTGAGCCACTCTACGGTCGTGAGAAAAGTTTCGCGTCCTAGCGGATGACGGCCTGGGAGACTGTTGTCGTACTGAATCCCCAGGTGCACGCAGAACCAATTGCCTTGAGCATCTTGGAACAAGTCTCCATGGCCAGTCCACCGAACCGCTTCATCTTTTTCAAATGCTGTCAACAATGGATTGGAAGGACAGCTCTCATAGGGCCCCCAGATATCTCGAGAACGTGCAATGTTGATCTGGTGGCCTTCAAACGTTGACGCTTCGGCAGTGAGCAGATAATACCAGCCATCCTTCTTGTAAATATGCGGACCCTCTGCATCATCTTTCCCGGCAGCACCCTTCCAGAGGAAACGAGTGTCGGACAAGGCTTTGCCCGTAGCAACATCGATTTCGAATTGGCGAATCGAGCAATCAGGCGCCCAGGGCGGGCCAGTCCTATAAGATCCGTGAAGGTAAGCTTTGCCGGTCTCGGGGTCAAAAAAGAGACCCGGATCGATGCCGGGAAAGTCAAAGGGTACGAGATCTGACCAGCCGTCGCCAGAAAAGATCTTGTCTTCAGGGCAGCTGATCAAAAAGTTTTGAAAGTCGTGTTCGCCAGCCTCGTTCTCGTAAGCATTGGTGCACACAATGTAAAATGTCCCGGCATGGAAGCGAATCGTTGGCGCGAACAAGCCGCCAGTAACCACGAGTGAGTTATCGTTTGGAAGCGGAATATGCTTGACGAATGACTTTGACAGGTCTAGATAAGACGGGTTTGAGATGGCGTGGTTGATGAGTTGCCAGTTCTGGAGATCCTTGGAGGCGTAGATGGGCAATGCTGGAAAGACATGGAAAGATGAATTGACCAGGAAGAATGTTCCATTTACAAAGACTATGGAAGGGTCGGGCGCAAAGCCGTGAATAATGGGGTTGGAAATCCTCATAGCGATGCGATAGATGTCGCAGCTTTTCCTCGAGTTAATAGGAAGGGCGTATCCATATTCATAGACACAAGGATAGCACATTGATCTTCTTATCAGATCCGGCGGCTCATTCGGAACTCCCGAATGGTCCTCGGGCGTAATATGATTCCAGGCAGCCATATCCATGTTCGGTGAGTGGCCTGGGTTAATTAACCCCGAGGACACTTCTGACTTCCCCGCACCCCGGATTTACCCCAGATCACTTGACAGGGATTTTAATGCCACTATGCCTTGTAAGTGCCATGGACCTAGGGGGCGTTTCGGTTCATACTATAATAGGATGGTCGAGTCCATTGCAGCTTGTTTCGAAGGGCGGAATTACCGGGCCACGTCTGGTTCAAGGTATTTATGGATCTTGACCCCCATCAAGTTGTGTATACATGAGCATCCTTGACAGGCAGGCCGCGCGGGACTACTCACGCGTAACTTTGCGATGGCTTCAAGATCTCACAAACTTGCCGTTATTGGAGCTGCCCACGCAGACCACGTCGAGGAGTCTTTTGCTCTGGATCCGGCAATTCAGCGCGCACAAGCTGAAGATGATGCTGATCGCGAACTCGGCATTCCCGCCATCTTGGCCAAGTATTGGCGTCCTTGCTTGATTTGTGCGTCTCAATTATCGCAGTGCTGTTCTTGCTTCTCAATTCACTGACCAGCTCATCAGGCTCTGTATCATTTACTGCTGGTCTAGTCTTTGGCTACGATGTCACTGTCAACGGTGCATCCATTTCAATGCCGGCCTTCTTGCTCTACTTTGGCGACATGAATGCCTCTGGGCCCTACCTACCCTCTCTCTGGACATCTCTTTGGACTGCCATGTCGTCGCTCATGCAGGCTATCGGTGCCATCATTGCCGGTTGGATCTCTGCGCGACTAGGTCGAAAGTGGCCCGCCTGCGCCGGCGCCTGTCTAACACTGGTTGGAACTGCCATTCAGTATATAGCGACAGCACGAGGTACTCTATTGGCCGGAAAGATGGTGTCAGGTCTGGGTATCGGCTGCTTATATTCGATCGCAACAACATATGCCGGCGAGGTATGTCTACACTTGTCCTAGAGCCTGTCTCCACCCACCGCTAATTAGTTCCCACTACAGGTTGCACCATTGAGACTTCGAGCACCCATTCAGACATGGCTAGTTGCTTTTGTCATCATGACCCAGGCCGTCTGCTTGGGTGTCATCAGAGCATATGTTCCCGACATTGACGAGTCGGCGTTCCGTTTCGTGTTTGCCCTCCAATGGGCTGTCGGAGGCATTGCAGTGATTGCCTGGGCATTTGCACCCGAGTAGGTCCGCTCACATTCCCCTCTCTACTCCACAAACTTACACGGATCTTGTGCAGGTCACCAGTGTATCTAATCACACGAGGTAAGACGGAGGCGGCTCGAAGTGTGATGCGACGAATCTACGGAAACAGCAATGAGACGGACGATCGACTCGCATGCCTGATAAACGACATCGAAATGGAGCAGGCATCTCAAGAAGACAACGGTTCATACGCTGCTTGCTTCTCGGGCCCGCATCTCAAGAGAACCTTGACCATTGCCCTCCTATTCTCCTTGACCAATGCATCCGGGGCCGCGTTCCTGTCCCAGAACATATACTTTTTGATCACGGCAGGTCTTGAAGCGATTCATGCCTTTGACATTGGCATTGGAGGTTTCGGTCTTGCGCTGCTCATTATTGCCGCCAGTGGCATGTATCTGAAGCACTTTACCCGGCGCAACGTCATTCTGACGGGTCTCGTCATCAACTTTGTCTTCATGGTCATCATTGGCGCCCTGTACTGGGTCCCCGGCGAGGGCGCCCTCTGGGCCATTGCCGTGCTCATGAATGTGCTCATCTCGCTGACGACGTCGACCCTGCAAGCCGCGGCGTGGCCCGTCGCCGCCGAAATTCCGTCGTACCACTTGCGCGCAAAGTCAATGTCCCTGGGCATCTTTACCCAGACTCTTACCTCGTGGCTCTTCATCTTCATTACGCCCTACATGTATAATGTGGACACGGGCAACCTCGGCGCCCGGACTGGCTTCATCTATGCGGGTACGACACTGCTGTTGGGAGCGGGTGCCTTTTGGCTTGTGCCTGATACAACTGGCTTGACGACACCCGAGGTGGATGCTGCCTACGCCGCACAAATTCCACCACGGAAATTCCAAACATTTGTGGCCAATACCTTTAGGATTGAAGAAGGCAAGGTCTAATACCGCCAATGCCTTTACTTTAGCATATTGAGGAGTTGGCGGTGAAGCGATGGAATTAGTTAATAAAAGTCCTTGTGACAAATCTTTCCATCCAGCCTTTTGTGGAAGCAAGTAAATATAGTTAAAAATTTACTTATGCAAATAATTTACATTGAATGGCGACACCAGAGAGGCCAATAGTCGGAGAGCCTTTATGTGTATGCAATGTGTAGAGCTCGTAGGCAAAACATTATGAAGACACCATTACCCTGTTCTGGAAAATGGATCAACTTCCGCGGAGATACAATTCCTGACAAGAGACTGCGGGATTAACCTGTCTAAGGTTTCTCACAGCACTAGCGTAAATCACCACAAAATCACGACCCGTGCATAGAACTTCAGGGTTGAAAATGCCAGTGTCGGCCATATCCGACTGCGCTGCCTTGCGGGAACTAGCCTTGTCGAACAGAGAATCGCTGCATCATGTGGTCCAGCCCGCTCGTGCCTTTTCACGAATTGATTCTCTCCATTCAGTCTCTCCCGGATAGGATAGGCAAACAAGATCCTATAGCCTATTGACTGTTTGTTCCGGATCTTTTAGACCAGCCCTTCGTTAGAACACTGTTTTGTGTTACGAGGCTGGGTCCTCACGTAATAATATGCCGTGTTTTGGTTGTACTGTCAGCACATACGACTGCTTACGCTGCTGTACCGTGCTTTTTTCCGACGCCACTTCATCTCCCAGCCGTGTTGGATCTGAAACTGCGTTATACAACATCATAGTCACGTTCTAATCAATGAGTTTTCAGCGGTATCATAAGCTCACCCACAAACCACTGGCTATACCAAACGTTGCATATAAGGGGCCACTTGTCCCCATGTTCACTCTTGATTCTAAATTGAAATTAGTATCTACAAACAAACCAAAACCACTTCCTAGCTCCAAATTTCATTCAAACAAGAATACATCATGAAGTTTTATTCTGCAGCAGTTCTCCTTCTGGCCGGCTCAGTCGCCGCTAGAAACTGCAAAGAGGGCCTGGACTATTGCGGAAGAACTTTACTTGACATCGGTACACTCATCTTACCTAGAGTTGGTAGCCTATACTAACAGAAATCAGGCAAATACCAGCCTCAAATCGATCAATCCCTAGCTGATGCTCATCAGGCGGAAGTTGATGGTGGCAAGCACGATCTATTCCACTGTCTTGGCGGATCCAACGGAGTGATTGCCTTCAAGAAGCATTGCGGTAATGGTTGCACCGATGGTGGAAGTAACAAGAATGATTATTGCAGCTGAGACAGCCGGCGGAAATGGATGCTGAAGTTCGTCGTGTCGAGGTCTACGGACTCATTTGCAACATGATGGTCATCAAGTACGACGGGGATTTCATTATCAACTACGCTCATTCATATGGAAATTTCCATTTCACACTCTTTAGATAAAAATATCAATCACGCTGGTACCTGCTGAAGTGGGAGTTGAATGCAATGGTTGAGCACGGAAATGTAAGATCAATCCTTATTGCTCCAGAACACAGTAAAAGATTCATACTCATGCACTTACCGCTGATAAAACGCGACTAACCACTTATATTAATCAAAACAGCATGGACCAAGTGGTGGTTATTTAGTATATTAGTCGATTAACATTAGTTTGTCTATTAAAACCCTGACTCCTATGACCAGTTTCTTGAATGCCATCCGGATCATGTCAAGTACCCAGCGAGTCGATCAGACATGACAGAGAGCCTTCATATCGATCGATCCCATTTGGCCTTCTAGTTGACACCGACGACAGCGTAGTTGAGAGTAACAAGGGTCTTGGTGGTGCTCGAAGCGGCCACACCAAGCTGGCCACCCGTGTACCAGAAATTGTTCGAGTTGCCATCATTGGGGCACGTAAAGCTGCCCGACTGGCCGACCTGGACGGCGGAGCCGCCAAACTGGCAAATCATGGCGATGCCTCCCTGCCCAAACGTGTTGGTCGACTCAATGATGTAGGAATCCACGGTGCCCGGCGCGTAGAGGCCCACCCAGTTGGTGTGGCTCGTCGGCACGAGCGCCTTGTTGCCGTCGAGGTAAAAGGACGTGGCGCTCGACAGGGACGAGGTGAAGCCCAGGTAGCTGTAGCTGGAGCCCGAGCTGATGAGGTAGAGGTACTGGCCAGACGCGGTGCCGCTGGTTGCCTGCAAGACAATGGTGGGAGTGGGGCTAGGGAGCGTGACGGTCTCGCTGGCGGTGGCAGTCACGGCGACGGTGGTGGGAACAATGGTGGTGATGACCTCGGTGGTGCTGACTGTGGTGGTGATGGTGTCAACAATGGTCGAGGTAACCGTCTCCACATTCGTGGCTGTTTCGCTCGAAGTGACGGTAACCGTGGTGGTAGTGACTTCGGCCTCCAGGGTAACCGTCGCGGTGCAAATGACTGGAGTCGTCGAGGAGACTGACGATGTAGAGGATTCTACAGTGGAAGATGACTCGGAAGAAGAGATGGTGGACGACTCGGAAGAAGTCGAGACGGGCAAAGAGGCAGACTCAGAGGAAGAAGCAGACACGGAAGCCGATGCCGAAGATGAAGAAGCCGGTGCACTGGATGAAGCAGGGTAGCTTGCCGATGAAGATGCAGGCTGGCTGTAAGAAGCAGACTGCGCCGGGTATGCCGACGTCTCGACCGTGGGGTGCTTGAGGCCACAGCCGCGCTTCTTCTTGCGCTGATAGACAGTCTGGGTCTCGGTCACAGTCGCTGCCGTCACCGTCTCCGTGACCGAGGACGTCTCAAACTCGGTGATGGTTGCCGTTTCCGTCACATCCTGAGTAGTGTCCACAGTCACAATGTCCGTAGTCTGAACAGTCTCGGCCGTGGTCGTGGCGAACTCGGTGTTGGTGGCAGTTACAACATCGGGAGTCACCGTGACGGTGACATAGCTGTCACAAGTCCCAACGTCAACGGATACAAGTTCCTGACGTCTCTGCTCTGGTGCAACCGCAACTGCAAAGGGGTTGAGGGACGGAATGGCAGAAGCCAAGCTTCCTGATACCAGGGCGGCCAAAGTAAGAAGATGCATCTTGGACATGATGGCAAAGAACGTTTCCTTCAAATGAATGTTTTGGTAAAAAGAGTGTACGAAGGACTGCCTCCCAAGGAACAAGAAGACGCAATCAAGTGAAAAGTCACGAACCCCAGTCCCCATTATATAGATCGACTACCCATGCTCTCCTTTTGAAATTATCCCAATGACGATGGCTCAGAATGCAGTATGGCGTGGCACCATTAACCCCGGATAGCTGCTGACAATTGTACTAGGCAATCCATGTGGCGCATATACTAGCATTGTATAGAGGATAGCGGTGTATTCGAGGTTGGCTGAATCGGTAGGATCGGACTATTTAGGCATCTTGGCTAGCCGGAAATGGCCATGCTGAAGGAAATGATTTGCAATAAATAGACTAGCCAAGGCCAGCTGAAAAATGTCTCCTATTGAAGCCTCGAGTCCGTGCGTTAACCATAAACCTCATTCAGCTTGCCGTGGAAAGACTGATTTTACAAACTTCGTTTAATGATTAGATACATTTGACGATTCTTAACATCAATTTTTCGCTGTCCACCAGCCCCGCCGGCTCAGACCGGTCCTAAAACGTTTCGTGCTGCGCGACTGGGTCTTTATTTTCATGACATCGCGTAGCCATGGTTTTGCCATAGAGGGCAAAGTAACCGCATCTTCCGTCTACGTATCTCAGATTGTGGCCCTGCATTTCAACCCGGCTGGGGAGAATGGCGCGCAAGATGGCTCTTCTTCTTCTTCTTCTTCTTCTTCACGAGGCGTAACTTGCATCTTTCAAGTTTTTACATCGGCATCAGGACCATCAAACCGAATCCGCCGGTCAATGTCCTTCCACCAACTGGCCAAGACTGAATAGTTTTGCGGAAACATGCACAAAAGCTACGGCCACAGAGATGTATTGCAAAAGTCGGCAGGGATCCTTGGGTATAATGACTGGGTAACAGCTTGCAGCTGAACCTCGTATTAGACTATCGTGATGTTTACTTCTGCTGCGAGGTGGCGCTGCTCAACACGCTGGACAGGTTTTTGAAGCGCACAGGCTTCGTCATGTACATATCGACACCGCTGGCAAAAGCCTCCTGCTGCGCGTCCGCAGAGACTAGACCTGTCAGGGCGATGACCTTGGTCGGTGCCAGTTGCTGTGCCGCTTCCAGTGCACGGATGTTGCGCGTAGACTCGAGGCCATCCATGACCGGCATGGAAATATCCATTAAAATATGGCTAAAGGATTCGGGATTTGCTGAAAATATTTCAAAAGCCTCGAGGCCGTTTGTAGCCGTCTTGTAGTTGTATTTAAGCTTCTTCATGAACGATACGAGAATCTGTAATGTGTTAATCATCAGCTTTCAGTGTCTGGGACCGTTGCCTTACTTGTAGATTGATGTTGTTATCGTCCACGAGAAGAATCTGAGGTCGAGTGGGGTCAGGTGTCGCTAAACCATCTTTCACGACGATTGGTTGGCTCAGAATTTGTCGTAGAGGTAACGTCAATGACACTCCAGTATCGTGGGGCGGTACAACTAGTAGCTCAGCTGCTTGGGAAGTTGGAGGGATAAGATCTGGAATCCAGCTGGGGTTGCCCGGGACCTCAACACCAGGTGTGTAATCGGGGGTGATCATGGAATTGTCGCCCATGGGTTGGACTCGAGGTACTTCGACATAGACCAAATCCGAAGCTTTGGCGTCATTATATCGACCAAGAGCTAATATCATTGCATTGGCCAGCTTCCGAGGCCCAACACTATAGTCATAAATTAGCACCGATCATGAAAGAGAAGAGAATGGGCGGGAAGCATACGGTTGAGAGATGAATTCGAAGGCTTCTCCTTTTCTTGTTTGGCGGAATTCCAAAGATAGGCTGTGTGCTTCTTGTGCGCTCTGACATACTATAACCACGGGCGGCGGCATGAAACCTTTGGCTATCGATTTGTCATGCATGGCAATGTCGGTGCATACAATGATGTCTGGACGAATATCTTCTGACCCATGCACAACTGGTTCAAGATGGAGCCACTCGCGGCAGACCGTCTCCATGAGGTCATGCTGAATGGGAGGTTTGCCGCTAGAGATGCAAGCGGCTTCAGCTTCGGTATTTAACCCGCTCAGGGAAACTCGGAGTCCTTTCAGAGCTGTAACATTTTCCGCGAACTGGGAGTCGCGCTTTGATAATACGCAAGAGGCTTTGAGTGGCACGCAAACAGTGGCAAGCGTTCCACGTCCCAACTGACTCTCGAGTCGAATAGTTCCACCCAATGCTCGCAAGACTTCTGAAATGAGACTCAGTCCAAGTCCTGTGCCCTGACTGAGAGGATCCTCCTGGGAGAAAGGTTCAAAGGCATGGTGTTGGAGAAAATCATGGCCTATGCCTTTTCCTGAATCCAAGACGGTGAGTACGAGCTGGGTTTGGTATTTCCTATGTTTTGTTCGGAACTGTTCTTGCTTCATACTCACCATTATGAACCCGCTCTTGGTGAATTTCAATGAATTTCCAAGTAGGTTCATGATGATACGTCGAATCGCACCAGCCTCAACCTGACAGTACCATGACGTGTCGTGGTCAATATCAAGATACACAGAAACACTGGGCTGAGCTACCGTAGCGGGGGCGATATCAAAACCATCAAGTATGTGAGTCTCTGTCGTCCGAGTAAAGGTTGGTCTTTGCGAGAGCCCATGATTGGGGGCTCCATGCCTTAGTGATAGCACAGCAGAGGTTTGAGAGCTATGAGCCGTAAACATGCTTTCAACCGTCTCCTCTACCAAAGAGTCCAAGTCCACGGGATGAGAAAGTGCGCCAATTTGAGACTGGAATGAGTGATATTTGTTCAGCCCTGATAGCCTTTCATTTGGCGCTGCTCCATCATGCTCTTTTGCATACCTGGCGAGTCGGTTAATCTTGGAATGATCCAATAGGTGATCAATCACATCGAGAAGGGTTCGTCCGCATGCATCCATATTTTGCAGCAAGTCACCCTGAAAGGCGTCGAGCTCCGTGTCCTGAAGAAGCTCAACAGCGGCCACTATTCCATGTAATGGAGATCGAAGCTCATGACTCAGCGATCCGAGAAGGTCATTCTTGCTCTGCTCAGCACTACTCGCATGCACGCGATCAACCTCTGCCATGATGGTCGAAGCAAATGCACGCAAGTAGCTCGTCTCTCCATCAGCCTTGAGGCTTCTTGCAGCTGTCGTTGTCCAGACAAATGAACCGGCAAACCATCTCTCTCGACGTGTGTCCCATAGGGGAATCAGAGATACGCTTGTGGCATGGGGAAATATTGCGGCTATCAATTCAGCCTCCTGTTTCTTGACCTCGACGTCTGATAGTTTGCGGCCGGGCGGTGGGCCAAGTTCAGTTTCTGCGGTATCTGGTGGATCAATTTCTTCATCGGACAGGTCTAGGTTTGAGCCATCCACGTCAAAATGAAAGACTCTTCCCAGCGGATAACGTTTCAAAAGTTCCCTTAGTAACTTTTCTGGGACTCGAATATCCGGCGAGATTATCGGGGCCTTGTCGATACTGGAGGATACGCTCGTGGCATAGCCCAAGGTATTGCAGGTCCTCAGCCCGGGTTCTTCCACTTTGGTCAGATCACCTCCTGTCGCTGCAAGACTTGGAAGTGAGGTGGGGCTTTGATGCTCATCTGCCTCAATCAGGCCGCCGTACGAGCGGACGCTTGCATCGAGAAAAAGAACCCCTTCCACTTCCAATGACTCCCTGATGATGCTGGCGGCTCTACTAAAGACTCTTCTCGTTTCTCTGAATTGTGGATCATCTGGGGGTGCCAAAGTACTGATTGTTCGGGCGGAGCTCAAAGTGTCTGACGTGAAAGTGGCCGAGTTTGTATGTCCGCTTTCTGGAGGACAAACAGTTTTGACATCACTTGATTCATTGCCCGAGCCAGATGGTGTTTGCAGGGGCACTGGCGAGGGTCTTTGGTGTTGTATAGGTTCGGTGATACGTTCTGAGGTGTTATCCTGGCTATTGTGTGAGTTGGATGTCTGTTGAGCGACGGCATCCTGTTCAGTATTAGCGGTTGGGAGCACTGCAGGACTTCCACCAATTTGTACATCCGTCATTGATGTGTTGCCTTCTACAAAGCTTCCAAGCCCTCGAACCACTAAAGATGTTCACATTAGTCACTGGGACAGGACAATGCGCGTGGAACATTGTGGAGGTCAGATGAACGGAAGAAGTGTCGGAATGACCTACTGCGTTCGCTTCGTCTGAAGCCAGTGGCTGATTCTTTGAACTGTAGATAACCCATGATGATCTGCGAAAGGCCACGGAGACATTCGATTTGTACCGTGTCCAGCCCAGCCCGAGGGTTTTCGTCAAAGACGCACAGGACGCCAATGTTGACTTTGCCTGCCTTGAGTGGCACGCCGGCATAAAATCGATTACATGGTGGACCATGGATGTATGGGCGATCGCAAAATCTTGAGTCTTCGGCAAGATCCGGCACGACGGAAACTGGTAGCTTGGCAGTGGAAGGGTCATCATGAATGTCATCGGGGGCAACGAGTACATGTTCACATATGCCATGACTGCGGGCTATTGCCGTACCGCCCAGCCAGATCTCCTCGGTCTGTCCATGACTGGGAGCAAGCACAGATTGCCTGGTGGCCTCCGCGACAATATACTGATGATTCCGGTCGAATACGGAAATGAGACAGCGCGTTACATCCAGCCTAAAGGCACCAAGCTGGGCAAAAGCATCCAGAGCAGGGTCTGAGAGTGACGTGGGCAAGGCATGGTGATCCCTCGAATCGGCACAGCATAGAGATGATGTCCGGAAACTTCGAGCATGCTCAAATCTGGAATGTTAGATATGTAGCTCTCCATTTTTTTTTTAACGTGTAGGAAGTCTTCAGCGCAACCCATGGGTCCAGAAAAAAACGGAGCCAATTCCCATTCCCATGTGATGCTCTTGTAAAGCAGACGAGGACAAGGAATGGGTAACTTACAACTCAGGAGCAATTCTAGAAGCTTCCCTCTCGCGGATTGTCTCTATCTTCGAGTTCATCGTTTTATTTGTGCCAAAATGCACAATCGACGAGGAAGGTGGGGTCTAGGGTATGCGGGGGTCAAGTCCGCCCGTGCATTTTTGTTGGTGTCTTTTTTTTTTTTTTTTTTCCTCCTTGAAGACAACAACGGTGTCGTCGGGCAGCAAGACGGGATGAGAGATTGTTTTGACAGTACCCGTTTGTGTTCTGTGTCGATTAAAGACAAAAAGTTGTCATGTATCCTTCGAAATGGGAGTGGATCAAAGTTATCAACAAGAAGTAAAACATTCAAAAGCCACGTGAAAGTCATGGGAAAGAAAGAAATTCCCATCAAACACCAGCCCGAGAAGTGGGCGCATGATCTAAGGCTGTCAAATGAATGATAAGATTGGAGGAAGGGGGGCCTCCCACAGAACTTTTAGCGAATAAACACTTGCCTTTACCCTCCTGTGGGTGGTGGGTGTTACTGCACTGTCGTTAGAGTTGGGAGCGAAGGGGAGTTAGAAGCTGTCGGCACGACGGATATCGGCTGGGGCATCTGGAAGCCTGACTAATAAGCGGGCTTCTTGCTTCAATACCACACACAATATATGAGCTACCTAGCTAGAAAAAGAAAGAAAAAATGCTGGTGTCTAGTACAGACCATACTGCTTAGGGGGTCCATGGCGGATATTAGACTTGTGCGCCGGGCAATGGTTGTGTTTTTCTTTTTTCTTCAGGGTATCGATCGTGCGTCCGAGCTAGGTAGTGAGGATTTCCCTCTAGGATGTGCTGGTCGGGGTAGTGGGGGAGGGGAGGAACCCGAGAGTACAAAATGCTTATACAATCTCATTACATGACTTGATGCACATGGGAACATGTACACATTACATTATAGCAATGCTTCTAAATACAAAGGACCCTACCCAAACCGTTGAGCTTGATTCTCTAGCCCCTGCTTTTCAGCGGGCCTAGGTTCAAGTCACCCACTAGCATGGAGCGCTCTAGGCCCTGCGACGGTCTTTAGCGCCCGCATTCCCAGCAGCCTCCAGCCAATGGGGGATCCCGCCCATTCGTCTCGGATTGAGACCGAGGCACTTGCATATCTACCTCCATACCTACCCATGTAAGTAGAAAGCCCAACTTTGATCGTTTTTACTGAGGGTTGATCGTTGTACGACTTTTGCATATCTATGCCAAGTGTGATTGACATATTTGTTCAAATTGCATGCAAAAACATGTAGTGTCCATATAACGAAAGAGAGTACCGTCAAACGGAGCAAAAAAAGAAACCAGTTGACACTTTCTATGAAGGAGGGCCAAACCTTTGCATATTCCGTACGGCACATTTTTTTTTCTCAAATCGTATTTTCATTTGACTTTATCCGTACGGGTTTGAGTCACCCTCCTCTCTCCTCCCCCCCC